ATGTCTAAATGCACAGTTTCCATATGCGCAATTTCGGTGCCCCTTTCCATATGCACAATTTCAGGGTGCCATTTAAGCCTAAGTGGAAGGTTCTATGACCTTTTGTTTCTTTGCTAGAGCTTCTCAAGTATTGCAAAAACCGCGATTTTTTGTCACTTTGACCTCTTTTTTTTCAAAATCTAGAGCTGAAGGAAACTTTGTGCTTGCGGATTCGGCATTCAGCACGCAAAGTTGTGTCAAAAACTGCCTTAACATTTGCCGCACCAATTTTTTTCCATTTTTGTTGGCCTGTGTTACATGTGCTAAAGAGAAATTGTAACGTAGTTCAGTGCATGATACAATAATTTTTGGAAGGTAGCTTCACTTCTTCTTATCCGCCATGTTAGCTATCTGACAGAAAACGTGTTTCGTAATTTTTATTGTACCGACTTAAAAAAAAAATCCGGTTTTTGACGTTGGAAAAATAAAACAAAGGAAAGCCAAACATATAAGTGGAGAGATTTTCTAATATTTTTTAATAATTTTCTTCATAACAAATTATGAAAAAATTAACTGCTGCTTCCGTGGATATTGCAACGCACGGAACATCGGCCGCCTATTTAAATAGTAGGGCTCGCTTGAAATATGTAAATGAAGATGTATGGAGGTGCGCACACTACACCACTTAATCGCTTACTTGTAGTGCAATGGAAAGACTAGCGAGCCCAGCTGAATCGGCGGCCGATTAAGTCGGTGGTGTGCGATGGATGTAAAACATTTTAAACAAGAAATATTGCCGTTATAATTTCGTTTTAATGATTTTTATTCATGTNTCGGTGGTGTGCGATGGATGTAAAACATTTTAAACAAGAAATATTGCCGTTATAATTTCGTTTTAATGATTTTTATTCATGTTACAGTAAATCCCGCTTAAGTACCTCACGAAAAATGTCAGCTTTTTGAGGTACTTAGGCGGGTTGGGTACTTAAAAGAACCCGCTTAAGTTCCGCGACGCGGGTACTTAAGCGAACATAATTTTTGATGTAGTTACATCTTTTTGTTAACTTACATAGATATGTGAATCCTTGAATAAAACATTAACATTTAATAAAGTAGTAGTGTAGCTTAAAAGCAAGACCGTAGCATTATTAAAGATTTTTCAATTAAAACAGTTCATTCCCTAATAAATATAAACCTAATATATAAATATAAACCTAAGCTTAAAATTTTATAGAACACGTAAAAAAAAAAATTAAGCAAAATTTAAAATGTTTTTTCTCAGAAGTGTTTTTTGAGTATACAGTCTTATAGGCCATTCAATTTTAGTGTAATAATGTGCAAGTTTTAAGTGGCTAAAAATTACCGTTGATTTTTTATAATTTTTTTGCCGAAGGTGTGTAACGCTGCCACTGAATTTCAAAATATGTAAATATTTTAAGGAATTTTAAAAGAGCACTTAAAAGGGGAAAATTATAGGTAAAATGGTAAATGGGGTACGAAAAATGTAGGTACCCTGTAGTCAAATGTACTAGTTGTAAACTACTTCACAACTAGTATGAACCGCATGCCCAACTAGTCAGCCAACTATCTTTTTTCCATGCAATCAACTGGTATTTTTAACATGGGGATGTCCTACGAGATGGCAATTGTCAGATTTCGGTCAGAAATATACCAGTCTCATACTAGTTCAAAATAGACAGAAAACTACTAGTCCAATTATGGACCAAAATCACTACTTTGGAAGTCAAAATATAAAATGAATTCATGAATATACAATAAAAAACTTTTGATTAAGTACACTTTAATACATTTCATATTTTTATTTAGCAACCTTAGATTTGCCAATAATTACTGTTAAATTTTTTGAGTATTAATTAAAAGGAGAAATAAATACATAAATATTTCAAACTTTCGAACATAAATTTAAAAGCATTTTCCATTAAATGATATTAAAAGTAAAAGCTTTCAAGTACAATAAACATTATATTTTTATCTTTTTTAATAGTATTGAATATGGAAAAGAAAACATTTTAGTTAAAAATAAAACGAATACTTAAGTTCATTTTTGAGTGAACTAAAAAAAAATAAAAGTTTTCATTAAGATAAATTAAATTCATTAACTTTGCGTATTTCAGACCTTTCTTTTTAAAATTTTTTAAATGTAATAATGTTTAAAATTTGAGATTTGGACTTTATTGTATTAAACTGTCAAAGTCAAATAAAACAGGGCATGAATAAACCGCTTTGCACCTGGTACAAGTCTGGTCATTTTCGAACTAGTTCGGTTTCAGTCAGGAAATTCTGGTTGTAAACTAGTATTTTTCCTGACTAGTTTGGGGTTTCACTGCAGGGTACTTAGGCGGGTTGGGATTTTCTTCAGATTACATTCAAAAATACACATTGCCCAAAAATGTTGGTTACTTAAGCGGGTTAGGTACTTAAGCGTAGGGGTACTTAAGCGGGTTTTACTGTATTAGCAGTGACAAGAATGTATGTAATAAATACGTATAAGTATGTTAAAAATGAAGTGATCAGTTATGAAATATATAAATCTTTACATGTTCTGTTAAAAAAATCTAAAATAACAAGCGAAAATCCAGAAAATCCATTGCGTGTTTGTCACAGACACGGTTTATGTTAAAAATTTTGAAGTGAAACTAAACTACCTTCTAAAAATTATTGTATCATGGTTAAGTGTTTGTGTTTTTGCTTGTCGGTTGCAAAAGATNGCGTGTTTGTCACAGACACGGTTTATGTCAAAAATTTTTAAGTGAAACTAAACTACCTTCTAAAAATTATTGTATCATGGTTAAGTGTTTGTGTTTTTGCTTGTCGGTTGCAAAAGAANCTTTACATGTTCTGTTAAAAAAATCTAAAATAACAAGCGAAAATCCAGAAGCTCACACATTGCGTGTTTGTCACAGACACGGTTTATGTCAAAAATTTTTAAGTGAAACTAAACTACCTTCTAAAAATTATTGTATCATGGTTAAGTGTTTGTGTTTTTGCTTGTCGGTTGCAAAAGAACGAGGCTAATTAATACAAGTACCCAAAGTTATTCCATTTGTTCATACTTAATTTTTTTCATTTAGATCTCCCAGTGTTGAGTCCCTTATCCCATGAGCTGTTGCGAACTCTTAGACGTTGGCAAGACTTTGCAATTAATGTGCTGATAGCTAAAGGACCGCCGCCTGAAGACTTTATAACAGGTAATAAAGAAAATTCAAAATACTATTTTTGCTACGTTTTATCTACATATGTATACAGGGCCCTCTCAGTAATCGCGAATCTCGATTTTATTGCACCACAAATTTAACATTGGAATCTTTATAAACGCGACATTTCAAAATTTTTGAACTCAATAACCGCGACATTATGTTACGTTAGAACAAAGTATGTAATCATAAATACCAATGTAAAAATAAATGAATGTCTATGAAATAGATGGCTACAATTTTATTGTTTTCCCCTTTAAATTTATATTAAAAAAGACGCGATAATCGTGACAAGCTCGGTTATCGCAACAACCATTGATTCTAATCTGTCGCGATTACCGAGGGGGTACTGGTAAAAAAGTTCAATGATAAATTTTGTAAATAAATGAAAAGGTGACCCTGGTTGCGTAATCAACATTCATTGTGAAAATTCTTATGATTCTCGTGGGCAGTGTTACCATTGAAAATTTTCAAAACATCCCAAAAAAAGTCAAGACGAAAAACATGTTAGTAGTTAAATCTTTAAACCTTAATTCATACGTATTTGTAAAAATTATATATGTAATACTCCTATATTGGCGGTAAGAGCTAGTACCGTCCGAAAACATTACAGTACAGATATGTTAATAAAGACGTACAAAAAAAGGGAACACATACGTTTATAAATAAACATGTACACAACACATATTACTTACTTTTTGCATTCTCAAACATTACCTTTTCCCACTAGGTTACATACACAATACATATACAAACGTTAGACCAGCGTTGGGCAGAGAGAGCTTTTACTCTGCTCGCGGCTATACAAAATGTATAGAAAGCTTAAAAGAGCTTTGCCCGCGGGCAAGGCAGTGCCCATCAGTGTACTAGACTGTCTCGCTTTGATTCCGGTTATATGGATGATAAATTATTAACGAAACAAAGCATACCGTTCATATGTGTTTGGTTATGTAATAAGTACTTGTGTGCACACAATATTTGTTTTTTTTTCCATTCTCTGCAAAGATATCAAGGATATCTGGTTTGCCAACACAGGAACACGCAACATATGAGAAGCAATCGGCATCTAAATCTAAACCATATTTTTCCAAAGTTCGACCTGGAGCATTATTGATTGTGATTCCGAATGCCAATCGAATTGGGAATTGCAATCTTTAAATTGAAATGGTGTATCGGTCGGAATCATGGAATTCTTCACATTTGAAAGGCCACGTTAAAATCTTTACTTACACTACTTTCTTGATCAATTTCTTAAATGCGAGTCGCATGCCGTTGCAAAGTTTTGGCTGATTAATATTCCGCAACATGATAATTGTCACACCTATTTTCAATTTCGGTATNAACCTATTTTTAATTTCAGTATGTGAGGTCTCCCTGGAAGATCAATCGAGTTCAAAAATTTCGTTGGATGGTCTTTTTCCACAACGGTGTTTATCGACGTATATGCTATTTCCTCACGTTGAATGCTGGATTGAATAACATTAGTGGTATTCACCAAAGTGAGCAAGTGGCCTGGCAGTCTGGTAAAAGAGCAGATCAGCTCAAGCAACAACTGTTGTCTATACCACCATTATTAAGTTGATAGACCTCCTTATTCTTCGCAGCAAGAATAGCCCGTTCACTGAGCCAATCGTGACTCATATAATTAATTTTCTTAATAAAGAAACATTCTTTCGATCAGTTCTCCTTTCGATGTTTCTCAGTTACAAAAATTATTAGGCCATACAATTCGTCTTAATCTGTCATTGACTGGCTGCTTTCCGTTCCCAATGTCCAGTTATTGTCGCGCGAATACTTCAGCTGCAGTGTATGTATGTTCGTCTTGTGGCAATGTTGACTATTTCAGGCAAGCATTTATCTCGTCCGCTAGTGTTAATCGAGAAACTACAGACAATGTTTGCGTAAAATCTCCTGCGAGCAATATCAGTGCATTCCCGAATGGTTGAACGTTTCCACGCAAATCTCGCAACAATCGATCAACAGCCTCAAATGATTTTTTATGTGCCATGGTGCACTATCCCAAACAATGAGTTTAAATTTTTGTAAAATTTTTTCCATACCAGATGCTCTGGAAATATTGCACGTGCAGCTCAAGAGCTGAATTGGCAAAGTTTCCACCTGGTAACAATGTCGCAGCAATTCCAGACGAAGCGATAGCTAAGGTAATGTAATTTTTTGATCGAACCGTTGCCAGAATCCATCTGATAAGGAATATTTTCCTATTTCCTCCTGGCGCATCCAATAAAATGGTCCCCCAACTCCGTCATATATAATTTGCATATTCTTCTTCTACTTTGGCTTTGTAACCACCTAAGCCATTTTTGGCTCTACAAAGAGCACCAGTCATTTCTCTCTGTGCCAACTTGGTCTCTCCATTGCAATGGGGGCTCCCTATTCGTCTGCTACCACCAGCGGAATGCGAGTTGAATTCTTTTGCACCCGGAACTTCGGTTCCTATTGGAACGACATGTCTAAGCCAGCGGAGCCGCTCTTTTTTCGTTCGCTGCGCTATGTACATTTAGTTGTAAAGCTCATACAACTCATCGTTCCATCGTCTACGGTAATCCCCGTCGCCCATGCGTAGAAGCCTGTATATCTGTATGTAGATCTTTCTCTCGAATACTCCAAGAGCCGCCTCATCGAATGTTGTCATTGTCTAAGCTTCTGCGGCATATAACAGCTAGGGCATGATGAGTGACTTATAGAGTGCGGTTTTTATACGTCGAGAAAGGACTTTACTCCCGAATTGCCTACTCAGTCCAAAGACACACTTGTTGGCAAGAGTAGTTCTGCGAGGGTTTTCCATGCTGATATTTTTATCGGTGATAATGCTGGTTCCCTAGTAAATGAAATTCTCCACTTTCCCAAAATTATAACTGCCAACAGTGACGTGGGTTCCAAGGCGCGAACGCGGTGACTGGAGATACTTCGTCTTGTCCTCGTTTACCACCAGGCACATTCAGTTTACTTCCTTATCCAGCTTTGAAAAGGCAGAAGAGACTTCGCGATTTTTGTTACCGATGATGTCGATGTCATCGGCACACGCCGGCATCATGCGATCGTAAATGCCCTTCTGCTTTCGCTTTAATACGGGAATCCTTGATCGGGAATAGGAGTTCACAATAGTAATGATAATCATAATCATAATTAGGGTATTCACAGTTTACTTCTAAAGTTAAAAGGTGGCAACTTTAACAAGATAACACACTCGAACTGTGAGCAACCCTTATGTTTAAATAAAGTATTAAGTTGATCAACAATACCACGCATTGCTA